AGCCGTCTTGCTTCACTCCTTTTCTACAAGGAGGGGTTGAAGTCAGCTGTGCATTCAGAAACCTCTTTGGGTTCACTTCAGTCGTTCAGTGACAGAGGGAGCAGAGAAAGACCTCTGAGTTAGCTGTGCTTCTGGGGACCCAGACTAGTGGTTGGTGCAGAGGAGAGCTGAGAGATCAACTGGACAAGAGCAAAGGATCTCGTAACTGTTCTCACTTCCTAAATAGGGAAGGATGGATGGGGTTGGGCCATATGACCCTTAGGGGTATTTCCAACGCTATGATTCTATGATGATGCTCAGCATTATTGCTTCTGCTCTAGACTTACAGGTCCAAAGATCTGCATTAAGCTAAGTATGGCATGAGCAAGGACTGACACTTCAATATGCCCCCTAACAGTTGTTTAACCTACATTTAACCTTTAGTTTCATTTAAAAACAAGTTAGGTAAAAATAGGATAATAAACTTCCTATTAGGAAGGGGGTGGGATTGGGACCGCTAAGGAATTCAACTTTTTTGTATAATATCTTTTATTTCATACATATTTGTTTCAAGCATACATTTTCTAGGTGAGATCTAGTGAAAGCAATAGACTTCCAGATTTAATTCAAAGGAAAAGAATCCTGAGGTGTGGCTGGGTTAACATTTTCTTCACTTTCTAAAGGAATATCAAAATATTTTATTTTATGTAGGGTCTTGCCAATGAAAAATCATTTATTAAAATCAAGTATATCATGGGAAGAAAAATGGAATATTTCCATTCTTAGCATGAAATTTGGAGACAGTATTGATGGGAATATCAAAGCCACGGAGTTTGTTACTCTCCTCCTTACCACTGCCCTTGTTGTATTATACCCAGGACATGCACGGCGCCCTGGGAAGGAAGATGTCCAACTGGACCACTGTAACCGAGTTCCTCCTCCTGGGCTTCTCGGACACTCGGGAGCTACAGATCTTGCACTTTGTCATCTTTCTGGCAGCGTACCTGGCAGCTCTGGTGGGGAACCTCCTTGTTATCACTGTTGTAACTACGGACCACCACCTCCACAGCCCCATGTACTACTTCTTGGTGAATTTGTCCATCCTTGACCTTGGGACGATCTCCGTTATTGTCCCCAAGTCCATGGCCAATTCTCTCTTAAACACCAGGACAATTTCCTATGCTGGATGTGTGTCCCAGGTCTTTCTCTTCGTCCTGTGTTGTGCAGCCGATCTTGCATTCCTCACCATCATGGCATATGACCGGTACGTTGCCATCTGCAAGCCACTGCATTATGAGATAATAATGAACAGGAGAGCTTGTGTCCAGATGGCTGCCGGTTGTTGGGCTGCTGGTGTCATGTACTCTGCACTGCACACTGGGAACACCTTTAGTCTCCCCTTCTGCCACTCAAATATCATCAACCAGTTCTTCTGTGAAATACCCCAGCTGCTCAAGCTCTCCTGCTCTGGCACATACCGCAGGGAGCTGGCAGCTCTTGTGTGTTTAGGTTTAGTCTGTTTTGTTTTCATCGTTGTGTCGTATGTTCAGATCTTCAC